TTTCTCTACCCTCTAAGAACATCAAAATAAGTTTTTCTATCAGACTATCAGATATTACGAGAGAACATACAGACGTTACATTTTCTGAGTAGTTAAATAAACGATTACACCTCCATGAGTTTATTAAGTTTTCGCAGTGCGTATGCTTGCGTGTATATGTTCATTTTATGACGTAATAATTCCTCTTTCGAGATGGTGGAGAAGATTTGTAGCTCAGGTGGATGATTTTGATGGAGTTTTGTTCTCTGAGCTGGATGGTTTGGTCGTGGAGCTTTCATCGTTCTTCTGAACGACATCATCAGCACTTCTATCTGAAGTTTGTGCTGATGATGTCGTTCAGAAGAACGATGAAAGCTCCACGACCAAACCATCCAGCTCAGAGAACAAAACTCCATCAAAATTCCTCTTTCCTAATATCTAACATTTTGGAGTACTATATTTTCTAATGGTCGCATTTATATATATCAAACTCGTAATTCCAGTATATTGCCACTTCATCTTTGTAAAGTCATTGAAAGGACCTTGGCGGTTTTGTAGAAGTATGTAAATGCAATTTATAATAATTTTGTGAGACATAATTTACCGATTATATTACTTATATATATCAGATATTTTGATTTAAGTACAGTGAAACAGAGGAGCACTACATTGAATAATATTGTTTTTCATCAATAAGCTCATCTGTATTCGAAAGTCTTCTCATCTGATTTCTATTTGTATGAATAAACCCATTTTTATTTAATTAAATATCATCTATACATCAACGTGAAAGTAATTTCCTTTGTTCCTACCTATTAATAATAATAATAATAATAATAATAATAATAATAATAATAATAATAATAATAATAATAATTTGGTCAGTTGATTGCTAGTCAGCAGTTTGAACATTACTCCGACAACCATTATTTTTGACCAGATCCTTCAAATATATATTTTGTATGATCCATATTCTTTTGTTGACATGTTACCATCTCCCCAGCTGATTGGTTTGGTTATAAAGCTGCCATTGTCTTTTTGAATGATAACATTCATGTTCCTACGTATTTTTGATAAACTACTCGAAACAGAGTCTAGTATTTGACTGTAATTTCTTATTCGGAAAGAAAATAAGAGTTCGTGTTCCATTTTAATTTTAAAAGATTATAATACATTTATTTCATTGACTTCAGTTTAAAGTGCTGACTAATTTGTTTTCGTGAGTAAATTAGTTTACTTCATGAGAAATGTAAAAGTATAATCTTTATGAGTTACATAATGTGTAGTTTTTCTCATGTTTAACAGTATTCTCTCTGAATATTTTCTGTAACCATCCTCATCATTTAGATGCAAATGACGTTACAATTGAAATGTTGAGTTTGATACGTAGTTATTGCTTTCATTTCAATGTTGAATGTGGTCAGTACTATATTACAGCATTAGAGACAAATACCAAGCTAGACAAAAAGAGTTATTTAGTGATTTATTTTCTATCTAATTAGATTTCTATCAGTTCAGAATAGAAAGATCAATTGTCAGTTAAATGTGTTTATTTAGATCATGAACTGATCAAGGTTAGATCACCATTGAAAACTTCTGCACGGGATCATGGATGCGCATTGCTGAGGCTTCCCATATCAGGAATGAAATGGCCATCCGGTACTTCCAGGTTTTCAAAGGTGGTCTAACATTGATCGATTCATGATATCAATCAAAACTCAACAATCTTCACAACCCTATACTGATAAATATGTTTATATTTTACATTTAACAGTATTTTCACGTTCTTTGTTTTATATCAAAATATTTGACAATATTTAGAATTTAATCAAAATCTCTAGTAATGTTACAGTTATTAACTAATTATGCATGTGATTTGTAATTTTTGTATTATAATTTGAAAAAGAAATACAATTATAATACAATTAATTACCATTTATTTTTGACCTGGATTCAGGTTTTAAGGTTAGTTTTTACAACAATAAAAAAAATATGTTTTCGTCACAGAAGTACTAATTTATTGAAATTTGATACAACGAATGAATTTAGACAATAGACAAGTAGACAGACAAATAAATTGATAAATAAATTTTAATTTACTTCTAGAATATAGAGACCAATCATCATTCATCCATCCATCCATCCAGTAGGGAGAAGTACTGATGAGTAAAGCAAACAAACAAATAGATAAAAATAAGTTTATTGAATGACATTGTAGGAAAAAAAAGACATTTCTACCTTGTTCTTTTTACATTTCACTATTTAATTGGACGAGGTGATGATGACGTACTAAAATGTAACAGACCTAGTCGTTTTCATGCTTTAATTATTTAACAGGTGGATGTGTTTTTCTTCTTTATATTGAATAACTAAGACTTTTCCAAAAAGACCAATCATGAATTACAAGACTAATAATCATGTATGTATGTGTCTGTTTATTAAATTACATCCGTGTTATTTTATTATCCTTTTTGGTTAGTAAAATTTACGTTTTTCTGTGAATAATACACATGTTATATGGTTGATTCTATAAATTTTAATAAGTTTCAGTAAGTTTTATTGTTCATGTACTTTTGTTTTCATTTTATTGATCATTTATTACGAAAGAAAATTGCTACACACATTTGTCTTGCTTTCAGGTGAAATTCTTATGTAAGCCATAGTCTATAATACATACATATATTATTTGCCTTCATTAACAATAGTTCTATGAGTTGTGATGACGTCATGTGGACTTTCGTTTTGTCACTTAGACTTACTTTATTGTCTGGTATATACCTTGATAAAATATAATATAAATATATAGTACAGTAATAGTAATAATATTGATGATGATATTCATGTCGAACCTGTGTGAGGAATACACATAAAGAGTTGTTTGAATAGTGTTTTTTTTCTGAATGAAATAGAAACTATTTGAAATTTTCGAGTTTTTTTCTTATTGTAACACATGTGTAAAACATGTATGAGTGACTGTTATTATTGCGTAATTGAAATGTATGTGTATTTTTGTTGTTGTTGTTGTTGAAAACTCATCGAAAATCCTGCTTTTTTTCTGACATTTAACATGGGAAATTTTTTCTCAACATTTTATTCACTGATTTTAGTTATACAACTGTTTTGAAAACTAAGAAGTAATTAATTGTATCGTTAAGATCAATTCACACTGTATAATAAGAGTAAATTTTGCAAAGTCTTTCTAGTTCATCTAGATACAAATTTCAATCCATTTGTAACATTGTGGTAAAACGTTTCTTATTTGCCTTCTACGTATAATGAGTTTACAAACCCTTAAGTGAATTATGTTAGACAGTTGAAAATTCTTCAATAAATTATGTATGAAGATTGATTAGTTTATAAATTACGATTTTATCATACTAAGCTTTTGTATTAAAGATTACCAACTGATGAATAAACTATTCCTTTTTTTAGAAGTAAAAATAACTATACGAATGTGTCCAGCATTTTCTTATTGATAATTATCACCATAGCTAAGATTGTTTGTTTTATTTTTCACATTTCAATAAATCTAAATTAATTGTACGTTGACTGACAAATATGATGGTAGTATTTTTTTTTAGCATCTTCAATGAATTGTTTATATTATTGAAATACAAGGGATTTTTGAATTATGGCTTGTAATATCATCCAGGAAGTTCACATAGTTCTATTTAGGACTCATCATTTGTGGGTGTACTTGTATCATTCCCAATATTGATTCTCACACTGAAGCTCGAACCCTGTCGCTTCAAAAGCCAGGGTATTTGAGTTCAGTTAGTAAATAGCGTGTTCGATAGATGTGATGCTCATTCGTAAATATTTGGTATTATATTGTTATTGATATTGTAATCTGAATTCTGGTCAATCTTTGTTAGCGTATGTTAAATCTCTGCTAGCTCTCACCTGGTATCTGTTTTGCTAGTTTTGATATATATAGTAGCAAAGCTTATTATTATTAATGAGATATTAAGATATAGCCATTGGATTATAGGGTGAATTTCGAATTTTCCATGTGTATTATTCGTGAATGTCGACTAGGGGCCACTATCTGATAGCAATACCTTTGATAAATCATAACAAATAAAAATCGACTGTTTTCAATTTATTCGAAGCAGATATCTTTGAAGTAGATCCGTATACAATGGTAGTATTACTTAGATTAGTATTTTTAAATCAACTGTATTGAATCAGTTGATTAATTCATCTAATTTAGTTATTTTCAATTTGCATGTTATAACATTTAATTCTTAACTTATATATAGTGTGAATCGAATAGATTTTTGTTATTGTTCTGATCGTTAATTTCTTAAAAATGAGGAAGGAAGGCAGGTCTTTAATTATTTGTCTGTTTCTTTTCAATCATCTGTTAATAACGCTAGTAAACAATAAGAACAAAGTGTGATTCAAACAAATTTTTTAAAAATCCAGTTATTAGTATAGGGTTTTGTGGAGACTATAGAATATTCATAGTTTTTAATTTATGAACTGATCTTATTTAGATTATCGTTGAACTTGTGAAAACACTGAACGAATGTTTGGTTCTAGCCTGAGACTCCTCAATAGTACGAATCCGGGAATCGAACCCAGGACCTTCAATCTTGCTCGCAAACACTTAGCCTTTAGATTACTTAGGTGGCATCCAGAGTTTCAGGACTTTTAATAGTTGTTTCACTAAGATCAATTTTCGATTTAAAATCTATGAAAATTCTACGATATCCACAAAACTATACTGAAAATAATGATATACTCACTAGTGACTAGCATCAGGATGTAGTTCCTGGAGTTGTATTGGGAAGCCATAATCAGTGGAGTGCAACCATGTCGAGTGTTTTCTATGTAATACTATGAAACGAAAGTAGAATACGTTAAAAAATTAAGTATATGTGTATACGTGTGGAGTTTGAATTGTGTTGAGTCGTGAGTGAAATCATATTGTTAGTATTTATTTAATCCTTCAATATTATCAGTAAATGATATTAGAGTTTAAGGTGTTCTCAACTGCTGACCTTTAAAACTGGTAATGGCAATAATAGTGATAATTTACTAATACGTTGCTATGAGCGTAATGATGACGAAATTATTTCTAAACTTATGACATATTTAACCAATCAAAATTGTTATTCTATTCTGGCTTCGTTGTATATATATAATATGAATTATAAAATTAACAATATTTTAAAATATGATCATCTTATACTCATTTACCTTTTACAATGTTGATTTCAAAAGAAAATTTCGACCGAAATCAAAGAAGTCGACCAAGGTTTTTCGGAATCCAAGATTATGATGATAATGATGTTTTCCAATCGAATGATGATAACGGGAATGGCGGCAGATTTACGAATACCTCTACAACGACAAGTGGTTACAGTAGTTGTTTTACGAGTAATACTACTAATGATAATGATAGTCAAACAATATTTCAATTTGATGAAATGTTTGGACAAAGCACCTGTCAAGATATTGATCAATGTTGGGGTAGTAATTTATCTGACAGTCCTCCATTAGGCCGTCCACGAAGAGCAAATCCCAAACCGTTAACAGGTCGATATGAAGTCGAATTTCCAGGTATATTCGTTGAAGGATTTCGTGGGGGTCATGTGAAATTTAATATACCTGGAGTATTACAGGGTTCTCTGAAACCTACCGACTCAATGATAGTGAAAATCAACGTACCAAGTCCTGAACAATTCCATCTATCTGAAGTGTATGATCAGTCTTCATTTGGGAATTCTACACAAACAGAAGGAGTTTCTCAGAATAGAGAAACTTCTACTGTAAGTACAAGTCGTTTTGCTACTTCCTGTTTCGAACAAAACACACATCAGACAATGTCGGATCATTGTAGCACTACAATGCCTTATACTTCAGATATACTTTCGAACCTCCGTTCTAATCATCCAAATCCTAGTGATTCATATCAGTTAAATTCTACGGATACTAATAAATCTGATGCCCATCTATTACGTTGTGGTACTACTACTGAATGTTCCACCATTTCATCAAATCTTTGTTCTTCCAGTCGTTTCCCTAGTGTTTATGAAAGAATCTCTACAGATTCCGGTCTACCATCAAATTATTTAATTCGTCCAGTAATCTCTGGTCATAGAAAAATCGTCGAAGAAGACAATAATGACAGAGGTGGTTTTGATATTGGTGGCGGAGAGCGAAATCCATTTAACTTTAGTAATGAAAATAATCAGTTATCTCGTTTCGGACAATTCGGTACTTAATGAAAGATTATTGTTATTATTATTACCATTATTATTATTGTTACTTTTTGTCCAATTAAAATTTATCTTGTAAACAATGCATTTTTTCCAAGTGTTATTTTTTCTATTTTGTACACTTATTGTACTGTTTATGACTATTATTATTATTATTACTATTATTAATATTGTCACCCTTCCTTACCCCGTTGATTATTGGTACCAAATCACTACACTTTTCAGTCGCTACACACTACTCTCATCACTGTGAGTGAATTCAACTTAGTCTTATTTTGTATTTGGAGTTAGAATTCTTTTTATTTGAAAAACTCCAGCTCATCAAGGAACTAGTTAATTTTTCTATACTCAGGTATATGTGGCTTACACTATATAGATATATATTTATTGGTTTCTATTTTGTGATTATAAATGTATGTATATTTTTCTATCTCTCTTCCTCTCATTTGTGATGGTGTTTAGGAGAGAAAAGAAAACCGTATTTCGATCTCATTGTAAACTGTGCCTTTGTTGAAATTTTACTTGTTTTCTTTTTACCTTATGTCATTCACTTATTCGTATCGTATCCCGATATATGCAGTAATAATAAAGGTCTTATATTTGTATACTACACCTCTCCATTATCCAGTGTCTCGATAAACTAGAAAAGTTTAAAAGTTTTTGTGCTGCCTTATTATTATTACTATTATTATTCTCGTTTCTTTGTCACTGCTGCTTTTTTTATCCTGACGAAACAGAAGATGTGACGATGTATTTCTTCTGACTGGCAACACTGTTATTATTATTTCTATAAGCTATTTTTCTGATTTTCGTGTTTATGTGTATAACTAACTGCTTAAGTACAAAAAACATAGTTTGACAACATGGAAAATATTGTTTATAAAATTTACCCATATTACTAGTATATTATTCTTCATTTTTCATAACCTAATTACATTCCATTATCATTATTCGTATTATTACAACTATTACGACTATTATTATGAATTTTTGTTTGGCGGTGTTACAAATTGTTCGAAGTGAGAAACAATAAAATTTGAAAAATAAAAAATGTTACCTACTTTAAAAGAACTTTTTTCCAAATTTGGGAAGTATGAATTCATTAGGATTTCGTTTACAATTTCAGTATATTGTTTAAATGGTAGTTAGCTTTGATAACATATTTCCGATACTTTAATGGTTATGGGATAAATGACTTGGGATGCAATCTTACAACGAGAGGGATTACTTTTCGGATTGAAGATATGCATAGCTATTAGGCTTCAAAAATTGTGAAGCACTAAAAGTCAAACATTTGCATCCTAAGTTTATTTGTCTTAGAGAGCATAACCTTTTTATTTAGCGATCAGAGTGGGATCTTGGCCATCTCTTGGTAATTAAGTACTGTACTCTAAGAGAGACTGTTCATTAAGTTTGGTCATTGATTGTGATTGATTTTTAAGAACATAACAACGTGAATAACCTAAAAGTAGATGGGACGGTGTAACATCACTTGAACTTATTATGTTTCCGATTAATTGATAATTTATCTTTATAAGATGATTATAGAGTGAATTTTTATGGTTATCGATAAATTTTATGTTCGAAAACCGTGAAATATTGCAAGTAGAAACTTTCAGTTTGCTAACATTTTCATTTAGGCATGTAATTCATATAACACCGCACTTTAGTAAGACCACGAACAAATGATTGTAAAAATGTTTGATATACAAGATTTTTATTTGTAGCTTAGTGTGATGAGACATTGTTTTAATCATTTCATTTTTCAGTGTAATTCCGATCACTTCACTAAGCACAAATGAAACAGAAGTAAGTATAAATTGAGTTAACTGAACATTTGGGATTTGTTTCTAACAAATTCATATTCTCCTATTATTCATTATGTATAGCGGTAACAGTTTATATTATGTCTAAAAGATCCAAATACAGGTGACAATAACATTGATTCAAGCAACCTCTAGATCAAGAAAAAGTCGATCAGTTTAACAATTCAGATTAACAACATGTACATAAAACAATGTAGCATTCAGAGTAAATAAAAAACATTCACATAAGTTCTACAATAAATTAACATTGTAACTGCAGGTTATTGAAATAGGTACTATTGTGGTGTGTGCTACTGATGTCGACATATGTGAGTAGTATATATCACCAATCGGAAGTGCAATGCTTGGTGGCAGAAGGTTGGGAAAATCGATAAAAAGAGAACGAGAACTGAGTGATTTGTACGGAAACAAAGAAACAACTGTTAGCGGAACATAGACTGGATTAAAGCAAGCTCAATGCACGATTGCTTTGGTGCACGCTGATTGGCTAATTCTTATCCAATCAGCACTAGTCGATAGTTGGAGAATACTCTAGAATCTTCTCATGTAGAAACTATAAATACACTGACGTTTTCCCTATTACTCTTCTTACTGGCTTCTTGCTTCCATCTAACCTTGTTATTTGGAATATAATCTCTTTCCTGTTCAACCATGTTCTGATTTGGGGACTTGTCGAGTGAATCGGTGTCCGAGAATACTAAGTAATAGAAATAGCTGGGGTCATAACCGTAAGAAAGAGATTATAACAACAACGAAGTCTGAGAAAAATGATGGAGATTTTATCGAGACATTCTGTAATGTTTCTTGTCCCCACCTGTGTTCTCGTTCGCTGCACTATGTGTTTTAAATTGATGCTCAATGTACATTTTAACAGTAATAAATGTTGAGTTTAAGCAAAAAGAAATTAGACGGAGACGTTTAGATGGTATTTAGTAGCAACTGTTTCATAGAGTCAGGTAGTCCATATTAACGATAGAGTGGTGTGACCAGTCCAATATTCATCGGTATAGGTAGAACTAGAGTGAGCCCGATCTCCACCTAACCGCTTAAGTTCATGAAACATAGTTTCACTATATTTAGGTACCACATGTATGTGTGAGATGAACTCAACCCAGGTAAAGTCATCCAAGTTGTATTATAATTCAGAACTATAATTCTACTAAAAGTTGTTTTTTAATTCTCATTCTACATATCACAGTTTTCCATTACAGCTATCTATTGTTGTTAGGATGTGCTAGGTAATAAAGTTCGAAACTCTTATGGATCGATTAACTGCAAGGAGTATTGAGGCACTATAAAAGGAGAGATCAATACTTAATTTCTGTTTATTAGTACTGTATTTTTCTGATGAAAAACCATCTTGATGCTAAATTCATCAACATGAACAGAAAAAATCTAGATGAAAATCCTACAGATGACTAATAGAGAATCAAAAGCTGTCGTATAAATTACACTGTACGATTGAAATTTTATCTAACCTGTAAAATAAAACACTTGACTCTATAGAGTAGGAAGAAGTAGCTTACTATTATTATCAATGTGTAGGATAATTATATACATATACTTTGGTCCAATTTGTTTGCTCATTAGATTGTCGATCGATATTTCTTTATTTTCAAAATTGTTCTATAGTTGTGAAACATGTTCTTTGAAAGTAGAGATGAGTAGATTGTTATTATTTTACCGTATATATCTTTGAAACACTACGCTGAAAATGAAGAGACCTCTCAAGGATCAATTATGAGATAAGGAGTTAACTGCATCTTTTGTTTTGTCTGATCAGCCATCAACTATTCTAACATACAGGGACCAGTCGAACAAGCTAACTTTTTAATGATTTATAGGACCTCAAGATTAAAATGAAATGGCTAGTTTTCGATTTCAATTCAATCAGTTAACAATTTACTTACTTACTTACGCCTGTTACTCCTCGTGAAGGAGCATAGGCCGCTCACCAGCATTCTCCATCCAACACTGTCCTGGGCAATCCTTTCTAGCTCCGTCCAGTTGTAATTCATCCTTTTCATATCTGCTTCTATTATCCGACGCAATGTGTTCTTTGGCCTTCCTCTTTTTCGCTTCCCTTCAGGATTCCAAGTTAGGGCTTGCCTCGTGATGCAGTTTGACGATTTGCGTAATGTATGTCCTATCCATTTCCATCATCTTTTCCTAATTACCTCTTCAGCTGGAAGCTGGTTTGTTCTCTCCCAGAGAAGGCTGTTGCTGATGGTATCCGGCCAATGTATGTTGAATATCTTGCGTAGACAGCTATTTATAAATACTTGCACTTTCTTGTTGGTGGTTGTTGTAGTTCACCAAGTTTCAGCTCCATACAGTAGAACTGCCTTGACATTCGTATTGAAGATTCTGACTTTGATCTTGATTGAAAGTTGTTTTGAGTTCCATATGTTCTTCAATTGTAGGAATGCGACCCTTGCTTTGCCGATCCTCGCCTTTACGTCTGCATCTTATCCTCCTTGTTCATCGATTATGCTTCCCAGATATGTGAAGGACTCTACATCTTCCAGAGTTTCACAATCAAGAGTGATTGGATTTCTGTTCTCCGTGTTGAATTTGAGGGCCTTGGTTTTCTCCTTGTGTTTGCTGAGGCCTACTGATGCAGAGACTGCTGCTACACTGGCTGTCTTCATCTGCATCTGTTCGTGTGTACGTGATAGGAGGGCTAGGTCACCTGCGAAGTCCAAATCGTCTAATTGATTCTGAGCTGTTCATTGTATTCCGTGTTTTCCTTCAGATGTTGAGGTCTTCATAATCCAGTCGACCACCAGAAGAAAGAGGAAGGGAGAGAGTAAACAGCCTTGTCTGACTCCGGTCCTTACTTGGAATGCATCTGTCAGCTGTCCTCCATGCACTACTTTGCACTGTAGTCCGTCGTATGAGTTCCGGATTATATTGACAATCTTCTCAGGAACTCCGTAGTGTCGAAGAAGTTTCCATAACGTCCCCCTATCTACACTGTCGAATGCCTTTTCATAATCAATGAAGTTGATGTATAGTGATGAGTTCAACTCAACTGATTGTTCGACGATGATCCGTAGTGTTGCAATTTGGTCTGCGCAACACCGATCCTTACGGAATCCAGCTTGTTGATCTCGAAGTTGGGCGTCTACTGCATCCTTCATCCGGTTCAGCAACAATATGTTGAAGACTTTCCCTGGT